AAATTGTGCTAATTTAGGTAGCAAAACATTTACCATTTTAGCAATCTTCATGTTTTTTGTTTCTTTTTCCATATGTATATTACAATGTAATATATTTAAAAATAAATTCGTTGTAAGAAAAAATATAAAGAAATAAACCTACCTTTCAGTGGTAATAATTTAGTATATAACTTTCTAGCCGTTTTCTTCATAGACTTATATGTATATGTACATTCTTTTCATAACAGTTGGAACCATATGCTACATAGCTACCCTATTGTTTTATTTAACATTATTATGTGTGCATTTTCACAGGTAAATTAATGTAAAAACCTAACTTTCCCCTAGCAATAGATGTTTTAAATAGTTTTCATGAATTCAAATAATGATGAAGTTAAGTTCTTTACTTAAGACAAAGTTTTCTGTGTCATTTCATGTAGGATCCTGGAATTAGAATTCTGGGATTTTTTTTTTTTTAACTTTTTGTTGTGCATTGAGTGAAGGATTACAGAAAAGATCATCAGTTTTACATTCAACAAATCATCTCAGTGATTGCAATTCCTTCCATGCAACAACAGTTATCCCACTTCTTTGTGGTTCCTATTTGTGGGATAGTTTTTAAGACACTTGAAATATATGGTGGATTTCTAAAATAGTTGCACTATCTTATACTTTCATTTCACTTTAAGGCTCCTTCTGTAACATTTCCTTAAAATCTGTTGCTAATTTTGATTTATATTTTTTAAAATACAGATTCATAACTGGTTGGATTATAGTATGTAGTCATTGTCATTATCAGAACATAGAGAAATTTTAGATTTTACAATATAGCATTTAAGTAATTAATATATTTTATAAGAAAATATAATGATTGTAGAATTATAATTATAGGAAACATTCCTATGTTTGGGGCAGCTCCACTAGTTATTGTCACAACACCTATTTGATTCTAGAAATATAGAGAAATAGTTTAATGGCTAAACATGTATGAAGGTTATATTGTTGTTGTTAAGTGCCATTAAGATGGTTCTGACTCATAGCAACCCTGTATATAGTGTTTCCAAGGTGTGATTGGTGAATTTGAACCACTGACCTTGTGGTTCAAACAATTTTTCAATCTAGTACTTATGTTACAGTGCCACACCAGGACTCCATGAAGACAATATTATATGCTACTTAAGGTCAGGCTCATTGTCCTAGTTAAATTTTTGTCCCTAGGATCCAGAATAGTAGTCAACTCAATGTAAACATGCTAATGGATTAATGGTTTGTACTACCTTAGTCTCTGTTATAATAACTGAAAAACATAATGTAAGCTAGCCTTGTTTCAGCAGCTTCTATCTTTTCCTTTTGAGGTATGTTTTGTCGATTGAGAGTGCTGAGGAGATACGAGAATATGTTACTGACCTCCTCCAGGGAAATGAGGGCAAAAAAGGTCAATTCATTGAAGATCTTATAATCAAATGGCAAAATAATGATCAGGAGTCAATTTCTGACCCTTTACAGCAGTGCTTCAAAAAAGATGGTAAGTAAGATTGAAATATTACTTATTTCAATATCAAATTTATAAGAACTTGTATTTTCTGTTATCCAGCAATTCCTCATAGCTAATTTACCTGTGCTTGTTAAAATTCCTCTCTATACAATCTGTAATAACTATTGCTGTAGTTTAGGCTTCCTCAATTTAGAAAAACATCACAAGAATACCTGTTACTAGACACAAAATGTGACCTCAGAATGATTTGAAAATTTTATATATATGGATTAAAAACCACATTCTTCAGCTATGTTTATACCTGGACAAAAGTAAAATGTTGATAATTATAGTATGAATAACATTTAAAGGGTAAGTTAAACAGTACAAAAGATAAACATTAAACTATCTAACTCTAGGTCATATGCAGTATGTATCAGATTGTAATTCACTTTCTTAATCCTATCAATAGTTATTTTTTTTTAAGTTTTTAAAATAATTACATATAATCTTGAAAATTATGGCTTAAATTTAATTATGGTTGGAGAGAGAAAGATAGTTTAAAAATCTGTCTGATTTGATATATTGGTTCAAAACAGTTAAGCATTGCCTTTTCTTTATTAGCTATTTAAAGTTTTACAATTAATTATGCTATTATCAGTCTGAATATGTATGTGTTTATATGTGTGTGTATATATGTATGTGTGTGTATATAT